TTTGATGATACCGACAACACCTGTCATGGCACGTGTTATTAACACCTGGCACGTGTCATCCATTTTTTTTAATTGTCTTTTACCTGGCCACCTGTCATGGTAGGTGTCATTTATTTTAAAATAAACCCTACAAATCAAAGTCACTTTTAACACCACCATACTTGAAAGAATTTAAGTAAAAACTTAAAAAATTGTCTAAAAATAACTGGAAAAATAAATATAGAGATAGAGATATTAATCTATTTCTCTCTAATTAGAATCTTTTATGCGATATTATCAAGGCGACACAAACATTGCTTACTGTCCTCTCTGTACTACTCTGAGGATTTATGAATGAAACATTTGGTATCTATGTTGTAATGTCTTTGATAGCTGATAACTTTAACACATTCACAACGTCTATCATAAAAACTGATCTCTGAAGTTAGGTCGTCGACTTATGTAGCTCGCCTCCCCTTCTAGAATCTTCTCGAACAATCCGGATTTTTCTTTGACAAGAAATAACATTTCGAGACATTTCTGGACTATTCTATCTTCTTCATTTACTCGTACTCTCGTACTTTTACTTGACGACCGCAGCACGCTGAAGGGTACTGCGTAACAATATAAACCTAACCTTAAAAATATTAGTAAATGTTTTACCTGGAGCTTGGAGACGTGTTTCGTTAACATTCATTAAATTGACACACATACCTCCTATTTATTAAATTCGCAATTTTATTTAAACACTGTTTTTAAATAAACACAATTAAAATTGTTAACCCACTTTGAGTCGTATTTTGATTAATTTGACGTTAATAATTTTATATTTGAAAATTGACTGAATGAAAATGTCTTTATATCATTTAAGTCATGCTATTAGAAAAAAACAAAGTATTTATTCTCACTAAAACTGACTAACTCCACTTGCTCGAGTAAAACGTAAAACTGTGTGGACACATTTAGTATCGACATAGCACCTCCTCTTTATTTTATATCAATAATTCGAAAGTTCTTATACTTTGTGACGTCACTATGTGCGTTGTGCAAATTAGGCTGATTTAAGTGATTTTACGATTGTTTCACTACGTTTCAGGGATCTGTTAACGCGCGAAATCTCTTTTTAGCTAAAGACTTTCAAGAACGCTGCTCATTCCCTCAAGCTCGCTTATAAAAGAGCTCCACGGAAACGCGATTAGCTAGAGCGCAGTGGCGTACCCAAAAATATATAATAACACGTATGAAAACAATAAAATTATTAAAATTACATTAATATTTTTGTTATTTATTTTAAAATAATGTGTTTTTATGAAATGTAACTGGATATTCACTACCAAATGAACTAATAGAGAAACCGCCTCTGGACACAATTAATGCAGGTCGAGTTAATAGTTAAGCGTTCATGTTTTTATTTTGAAATGTATTCCTACAATATTATTTACTTGTTTCTATTATGGATAATTATTTTTATTCTAAGATTTATTTAAAAGTCTAATAATTTATTGAATTTATTTTATTATTTTACTGGACGTGACTATATTCAGATCCTCGTTGGCTCTGAAGCATATCCCCAACAAATGGAGGGAAGTAAAGGTAGTTTTAATACCTAAACCTAGTAGGATGGATTACACCGTCCCAAAAACATCGTTTTCCATGAAGACATTGGAAAAACTATGCGGAAGGTATATAAGGGGTGTGGTGATTACAACACCACTACACCCAAATCAACTTGAATACACCCAAGAAGACCTACTAATTCAGCCCTTCACCTAGTTGCTGGCCTGTTAAAGAGATCCTTGGGTGTTCTCATAAACATAGAAGGTACTTTTAAAAAGACGACCTTCCCCAAGGTAATGCATTTAGTAACCAGCAGGAAAGTTTCACAAATGGTTAGTGGGTGTCTCACACACAGTCACTACCCAATAGCGTATGCAGATGACCTGGTTATTCTGCAAACAGATAATTTTGAGAACATACTCTGCGAAAGAATGCAAGTAGCTCTCAAAATTATAGGACAGTGGTGCAAGCACCATTCACTGTCTATCAATTCCAAGCAGACATAAATGGTCCTTTCACAAGGAAAATGATGAAAATTAAATTAAAACCTTCAGAGCTCTTGAACACAAAACTAAAGTTTACAACAGAAGTGAAGTACCTAGGTTTTACCTTTGATAGCAAGTTAACATGGAACTTACACCTAGAAAACAGAGTAAACAGGCATACATTGCTTACAAACAATGCTGTCAGATAGTGGGTCGTATCTATATAAGGTCTCTTCCCCAGAGTCGTCGCATGGACTTACACGGCCATGATACAATTGACAAATATTCGCAAACTAGAATAAATTTAAAGAACGGTATGTCCCAACATAACAGGAACCTTGAAAACCACACCAACCAGAGCCATGGAAATCATTCTTAGTCACACTCCTCTTAATATTAACATCAAGGAGGTTGATCTGATGGCAATGACACGCCTCCATACGGTTGGAATAGAACCTGATGTAGAATCTTGTGAAGCGAGACGTCACTTTTGGCAGAAAGCGCTTGATACCACATACTTTGATTACTATACGGGGCAAGAGAGAGGTCCGACACGCCCAACATAGGGCGCGGCCATTTTGATCCCTATGACACAGTTTATAGCTAAAGAATCAGATCGCTCACTCTGCGTCGGCATTTTTTATCTCAATGTTCCAGTTTATACACTGCGCAACTCAGATAATACAATATATGACAACCGCCTATAATAAAACAGCAGTCTTCTGCGTATCCTGAATTTGTATCCCTGGAGTGGATGTTATTTTGGAACTTTCAACTGGTGCGAGTGAGCTAACTGATTCTTTAGTAATAAACTGTGACTCCAAAAATAATATTCACTGACACTGACACCAGCAAGCAAAATATCAGGTGCGTTTTAATCATCCTCTTCTGCTTCCGGAATTGTCGGTTCAGTCGTTCTAACCTGTCAGATTAAAACAAGAAAACTGACAATTCCGAAGCAGAAGCGGATGATTAAAACGCACCTATTAAAAATATTGCGCCAAGATGTAGGCAACACGTAATAAGGGTTCAAAATGGCGGAGTTTTCTATCTCCTTTTAAAAGGCACTCAGAAAGCTGCGCAGTGCGACCATTCTCCGTATAGTAAAAGAAAATCAAAGTATGTGCTTGATACGCTCACATTGCTTCAACCGAACATGGACTCCATCTTGCTTAGATATATCTGTCATAAGCCATATAAAGTTATAACAGAACAAATAGAAGAGCCGAAAGTGGCAGGAACATGCTCTTCTATACAGAAAGCAGACAATCACTACTTACCTTGGACAGACCACGAATTTACTTAGGGTTAGTACTAGAATGTCACGAAGTTTAAGCCGAAGTATCCATCAATAATGTGGTCAACTTAAGATAGATCAAAGGTCACGCCACATTGAAAGATAACCGTCATGCTAATTCACTAGCCAAGAAAGCAGCTAACCAAATACTTTTTGGACCTAGCCCTTGGAATGAAACAAGAAGCTACAGACTTGACAGGGAGCTTTTAAGTTATCCTGACAACATCACAGTAAACAAATACTTGTTAATTACTAGACAATATCTGCGCCTAATCAGATGCATACTGGATCCTCACTTTCCTGGGGGTGCGAACAAGAAGATGAGACTATCGAGAATATCCTTTACGATTGCTAGACGCTTTTATTTATTAGATGATTTGTGTTCGGCGAGAATTGGCTAATACCGGCTGATATAAGAAAAATACCTCTTACACCTCTCACAACTACATTAAATCTGTAGGCTGGCTCTTAAGCTAGGAGATGCCTAGCTACTTAGGAGGATGTACAATGGGCTTAGTGAGACCTAAGTGCAGATTATTTATATTTTTCTTTGTGTAGATGTAGCCTCCACTTTTGCCTCACTTTCATTAAATATTTAATATTTGTTTTTAAATGCATCTTTTTAGTTTCATTTGCTACTTATACATGTTTCTTTAGCCCTTTTAAACTCAATTTGTCACAATGAAATTTTTTTTTGCAATTCTTTGCCTTTAATTCCTAGTACAATCTTATAATACTATCTCGGATCATCGAGATTACAATATCTCCATACTCACAGGTTTAAGCTAATTTTTTTAAATCAGTCACATAGTGATCAAATGGTTCACCTTGTATTCGGTTATAAAATAATTTTTTTTTGGGATTATAAAGGATTCTATTTTTGTTATAGTTGTAGTTTTTTTTCTGTGTACCTGTTAACTTTAAAGTTATATAACGTTTAAGGTTATATTAAAGCAAAGAAACACCTTTTTTCCACTAATTATCAGGTATATTTCAAAACATTGCTTGAATTTCCTAAAATTGTCTATTACATTTACTCCAAATGACAAGGATGCTGGAAGTCTCAATTATTCTATCATGCTGAATCTTAATGCTCACAAGAGGTTAAATAAAAATTATTTTTCATTCACGCCATGTAATATTATGTTATACAGGGTGTAACTAAATAAGTGTAAAACATTTAAGGGGGTGATTCCTCATCGAAAGAATATAGGACCTTTCATATAAAGAAACTTCATTGGAGCATTCCTTGCTGTATCTTAACAAGGGATGCTCCAATGAAGTTTCTTTATATGAAAAATCCTATCTTTTTTTGGATGAGGAATCACCCCCTTAAATGTTTTACACTTATTTAGTTACACCCTGTATAATATATTAAATATGCAGAGAAGTTAATAATATTTATTGATACGTTTTATCGTACACAAACTTATAACTGTAATGGACAGAATAAAAAAATTGTGTGTTATTTAAAACAATATTAATATCTTGAGGTCCTGAACCAGTGGCGTAGCGTGGGCCAAAGGTTCTCTAAACGCAAAGGTCAGGGCGGACCGTTGCCCCCTATACGCCGTGGCCTGCTATACGCTACGTCACTGTCCTGAACTTTTTTTAAATTATTTATTATTTCTTCTAAAATTTGGTGTATACTTACGTGGTTCCAATACTACATTTGTTTTTAGTTACAATGTTGGTATAATATGGAAAACTTACAGAACAGGCAGTTTTAAAGAAAGTCAACTTCATGAAGTTCCACTCAAATGTAAGGCTGCTACATCGGGAGATGAATTAGAAAAATATTTAAAAAAGGATATACAGGAAACTAAGTTTTCCCTAACAAGAGTTCTATTTAAATGTTACGGAACCAAATACTTAATTTTAGGAATTATACAATTACTAGTAAGGTCACTAGTAATGTAAGTTGTATATTTGAGAATATTTATTTATAGTTAGTTAACTTTTTTTTGCAGAACAACTATACCAATGACTCTCTCCAAAGTGGTTCACTATTTTCAACCAGGCCAAACGGAATTTTCAAAAAGAGACGTGATATTATCCGCCTCTTTACTCATTTTACTTAATTTTTTAAACGTAACTTACCTTCATAACTACCTTTTAACGATCTCAGAATTGGGAATCAAAATCAGAACAGCAGTTTGCTCAGTGATATTCAGAAAGTGCTTGAAAATTTCTTCAGCGACATTATCGGATTTGGGTATAGGAAAAATTGTTACACTGATGACCAAAGACGTAAATGCTATCGAAACGTTTATTTTCTATTTTAACGATACTTGGGTTGGGATTGTTCAAGTTTTAATTGTGTTTTATTTGTTATATGGAAAGACGGGACTGTCCGCTTTAATTGGAATGGGTTTGTTTGTCGCCATAATACCAGTACAAAGTAAGTTTTATATTATTTTTATCAAGTGATCCAGATAAGTGTATATTAACTCGTATACAGAGTAGCCCAAAAGTCTGGTCTCGTAAATTGCTAGTCCTAATTGTACAAAATTTGGGGTACACCTATTTTGTGATACGGTGATTCCAGATTTGATATTTGCAATGTTGCCAGATTTGACGTTTCTCTTAAATTATTAGTCACTTTGATTTTTCAAATTCATTACCCTGTATATTCAGTCATTATTGGAATCTCCAAATTAATACGAGTTCAACCATATGTAATACTTATGATTTTATGTAGTCTGGAAGGTCTTAAATAAATAAAATAAGTCTGGCAACGTCTAATTGTCTCAATAAAACGTAACAATTGAAAGATTGAAACATTTTTAACATAATGGTTACTTTATCAAGTGTTTAAAATGTGCTTCATTTGTGAGTTAACAGTACCCTTATCGATGGTAGAATGCGTGTTACATATGGTTGAACTCGTATTGAATAGGAGATTCCAATAATGACTGAATATACAGGGTGATGAATTTGAAAAACCAAAGTGACTAATAATATAAGAGAAACGACAAATCTGGCAACATTGCAAATATCAAATCTGGAATCTGAGTATCCCAAAATAGGTGTACCTCAAATTTTGTACAATTAGGATTAGCGATTTACAAGATAATTGGCCGTTTCCAGACTTTTGGGCCACTCCGTATATTATGGTTATTATTGAAGTAAAACCTTAAAAGTTTAATGTTTGATTAAAAATCTACAACACATGACTTTCCTATCTAGTTATTAGAGGCTTTTTCCGGTTATTTTGTACAACCTATTGCAGCACCTCTATAAATGTTTAGAAGACAAACTAAATATATACATTTTCCACATACAACTACCTCGAAACATTTTTCTATAGATATTTATTGAAAACGAAAATACTAAAAAATTTAAATTTAGCACTTTTCCTACAATTTTTCCATTACGGTCCATTTTAGAAAAATCATGTACAAACGGAAATTATAGAGATCGATATCGCAAACAACTTTTATTTTAACAATTTTCATAAAAATCAGAATTTTGCACATTTTGTCAAATTTCTCGAATACGTACCATTTCAGGAAATGTTGACATAAAACAAAAATTATAGATAATAAATAATATTAGAAGTAACTTTTATTTGAACTATTTTTTTCTCGAAACATAAATAACAGATATATTCCATAAAATATAAAAACGGCCTCCCATAAAGTACCCCCCAGATGTTCCGATTTTGTTCACAATCTTATCATTATCGTCAAACTTAAGTTTAATAAATATTATGTTTTTTTCTTTATCCGTTTTTTGAGTTTTCTTCAAATTTCGAAATTTACACATTTTCTCAAATATCTCGAATACGGTCCATTTTAGAGAAATTATGTAGAGAATAAAAATTATAGAGAATTATATTACAAACAACTTTTGTTTAAACAACTTTTATAAAAAAATATTTTTTTACATTTTGTCAAATTTCTCGAATACGGACCATTTTAGGAAAATTTAGTTTGGAACAAAAATTTTAGATAATAATATAAGAAGTAACTTTTATTTGAATAATTTTTTCTTCAAACGTAAATAACAGATATATTCCATAAAATATAAAAATAATCACCTATAAAGTACCCCCCAGATGTTCCGACTCTGCCCAAAATCTAATCAGCTCATTGGACGCTGAAACAAAGCTTAAGTTTAAAATTTGGTGGTTTTCTGTGTATTGGTTCATGAGTTATGCGACACACAGACACACAGACACACAGACACACAGACACACAGACACACAGACACCCAGACACACAGACACACAGACACACAGACACACAGACACACAGACACACAGACACACAGACACACAGACACACAGACACACAGACACACAGACACACAGACACACAGACACACAGACACACAGACACACAGACACACAGACACACAGACACACAGACACACAGACACACAGACACACAGACACACAGACACACAGACACACAGACACACAGACACAGACACACAGACACACAGACACACAGACACACAGACACACAGACACACAGACACACAGACACACAGACACACAGACACACAGACACACAGACACACAGACACACAGACACACAGACACACAGACACACAGACACACAGACACACAGACACACAGACACACAGACACACAGACACACAGACACACAGACACACAGACACACAGACACACAGACACACAGACACACAGACACACAGACACACAGACACACAGACACACAGACACACAGACACACAGACACACAGACACACAGACACACAGACACACAGACACACAGACACACAGACACACAGACACACAGACACACAGACACACAGACACACAGACACACAGACACACAGACACACAGACACACAGACACACAGACACACAGACACACAGACACACAGACACACAGACACACAGACACACAGACACACAGACACACAGACACACAGACACACAGACACACAGACACACAGACACACAGACACACAGACACACAGACACACAGACACACAGACACACAGACACACAGACACACAGACACACAGACACACAGACACACAGACACACAGACACACAGACACACAGACACACAGACACACAGACACACAGACACACAGACACACAGACACACAGACACACAGACACACAGACACACAGACACACAGACACACAGACACACAGACACACAGACACACAGACACACAGACACACAGACACACAGACACACAGACACACAGACACACAGACACACAGACACACAGACACACAGACACACAGACACACAGACACACAGACACACAGACACACAGACACACAGACACACAGACACACAGACACACAGACACACACACAGACATCATCGCGAAAATAGTCAAAACGGATTCAGGGGACCTCAAATCGTAAAAATCCGTCGAAAACTCGAGGTCGAAAAAAATCATGATTCCTATACTTTCCTTATATCTATGTATAGATAGGAAAGTAAATAGCTATTTGTATTACTAGGGAGGAAAGTGCCACTTTTCCTCCCGCAGGATGAAGTTAACTGCCCGACGCAAAGCGGAGGGCAGTAAACATCCAAGGGAGGAAAAGGCACTTTACTCCCAAGTAATACATATGATTTTTCCGCCTCCCTCAAATAACAAGTCATTTTTAAATAATTTATTTATGAAACTAATAAACAAAATTTATTAAAGAACTAAAATTATGAAGTAGGTATAGTATAAATTATAGGCATGTTATTTTTATTCTTGCATCCTACATATTTTTAATTTGTGGTAGAGTAATTATTTTTCTGAGTAAGTACGAATATGCTTTTCTTCGGCCCATTGCTTGAAATGTAAATACTGTTTTTCGTATTTTTCTTTATATTTTTGGGGTAATAGAGATTGAAATGTTGCATTAACCTGTTCCAAAATATCCGGTGGTGTATTATTTATATCTTTAAATTCGCTTGAATCACTCATTTTTTAAATATTATTTTATATTTTGCAGATATATTATAGCGTAACACACTTTAAAACTGATCTGTCAATCGACCATAGCATGCTATATTTCTGTCCTAAATTCGAAAATCGGATGAATCTATGAATTGAAGTCAAATTATTAATGTAAAAATCGTTAAATTAAAATAACAATTTACTGATTTTTACTATTTTGCAAAATACAGGGTGTTCTATAAATAAACGGTAAAATTCATACTTATATAATAGAATATAGTTTAGGTCGTCAATGCCGTATAAGCTATTTCATTTATGACATACCATGACGTCACTTTTACTTTTCCTCCCTAGGGAGTAAAAGTACTTTTCCTCCCTAGGGAGGAAAAGTATGACTTTGCTCCCTGCAATGAGGTCAGGAAATGTATACTTTGGATAGAGGTAGGCGGAAAAATATATTTTTAAATGTAATGGTCACTAGATATGTTCATTTGTGTAATTTTATATTCAAAGCCATACCTCTATTCTATAATATAAGTTTATAATTCTGGATATACTGAAATATTTGTATCGGTTACTTCAAAATTTTAGTTCTTCTTGGTTTAATCATGACAATATTGTCACGAAATATTTATGTGTAGTGTGCTCAGATAAACAAATGAATAATAGATAACTAGATAACTGTCAATTTTGTTTGTACATTTTGTATGATTTTATATTCCTAGGACATATTTTTAAAGTGGAAATGAGATCAAAGAAATAAATGGATAGGTGTACAATAAGAAGAAAAATTACCTTTATTTTTGTAATAATAACAGTAATGCTGGAAATAGTAGACATCAGAAACTTGAAAGATTTAAATAAACAATAAATTATTATATTACGGTGTTCTTTAATATCCCTTTATTCTTAAATGTTCATTCAGCAAGGACTAGATTTAAAGATTTCTGCATTTGATTATTATGTGTGGCTGGAATGCAATTGTGGGACTTACTGATGGGAAACCAGTTTTAATCATTCATTCTATGTTTTCTTTCGAACAAAAATGAAAATATAAATAACGATCCATTTTTTATACATTTTAACTTCACACTATTATTAAATGGTATTTTTTTATTTTGACAGAATAAGCTAATTCTTCAATGGCAACTTATTAGACTTAGGCAACTTCTCATACATTTTCCAGTAAATACTATTGGCTGTCTATTATTAATTATTGATTTTTATTGATTATACATAATTTTCTTTAATTTAAGCGATAAAAATATATAATAATAATAAATTAATGTTTTACTTGTTTTATAAAAATTGTATTTGTCAGTATACGCAGAAATAGATTAGTACCAAAACGAATTGGCGCTGCTGTCGCGCACGGAGCGTTCATATTTCATAGCAGAGATTAGGGCACATACTTTGATTACTATACGAGGCAAGAGAGAGGTCCAACACGCCCAACATAGGGCGCGGCCATTTTGAACCCTGTGACACAGTTTACAGCTAAAGAATCAG